AGAAGAAGAAGAAGAAGAAGAAGAAGAAGAAGAAGAAGAAGAAGAAGAAGAAGAATAATCCTGGTTTGTAAGCTGGTTTATAGAAACCATAGGTCATAGATAATATTAATGGCAAGATACTGTCACTGTTTTAGAGTTCATTGGAAGCTAACTACTAATGAGTCAATTTGTTCAGTTGAATTATGAAAAAAAATGTCAGTTCAGAATACTATAGAAAAATTTCTATAAAGAGCTGTAATAATATCCCAGAGATGGATATCCCAAAATGGGTAAAGGGTCACTAACAATATATTGGAACTTCAAAATTTATTTTTAGGATAAGCATACCTCCAACCTTAATTTTAAAAAAACCCTATTAATAGATTATGTAAAAACCTGGTTTCTACATTGAAACTATATTTCTATTGCAGTTCTGTTTTTCCATGTAGTAATTAAATGTACCTTTCAAAAGACTTGCTTATGGAGATTCTCCGTCATTAAAGTCATGGTTGTCCCAAAGGTGCTTTTTCAAGAGTCAATTGAATTTTCTGGATTTTCTTTGAAGATGCTTCACTTCCCAGCTCTGGCTGGATGGTGAGGAAGGAAATGATGTATACCTCCTGGTGGCCTCAATGACTCTCTAAAAGAATGCAAATGACCAGCTGTCTGCGGGGAATATACATCCTTCCATTCTCCACTATCCAGGTAGAGCTGAAGAAGCTTCTTGGATGAGAAGCAAAATGTCTTCAAAGAAAAAAAAACCAGAAAGTCCACTTGCCTCTTGAAAAAGCACCTTTGGGACTTTCAAAAGATTGTTAAATACATATAATTTGGATGATTTAGTAAACTTCTTTATGTTTTTAGTATAGATATATTGATTTATTTTAAAGGTTGTAAGCTGCTCAGAGTTACCCTGTGATAAGATGGGCAGCCAATAAAATTTATAAATAAATACATAAATAAACTTTAACTCTAGCTTGCCAATAAACTAGTATCAATTATCTCCATGGGTAAATAATACAATTATTTACAAATATACAAATATATGTTGACCAGATTTAAGAGAGTTTAGGATTTGGTTTATGATTTGAACTTGGGTCTCTTTTTTATAATTATTTAAAATTATAATTTTGTAAAATAATTTATAATTATTTTTATAATAGTAAAAACAGTGACTCCTTATATGATAGGAAATAATGTTGTGCAAATCTCTTTTAAAAATGTAAAAAACACTTGCCAATTTAATAACAAATAGGATTAAAGACAGGAAGGAGAGAGAATAGCCACGCTATGTTCAGAACTCCAGAATACAGATATAGAACTGGATCTCTAAGATTTGTTATTTTGTGTATACATGTGATACTGAGAAACAATTTCATATTTGTAGACATGGCTCAGGAAAGCAAGACATTACTCATATTTTTCCTTATCTTCTAAGGAAACAACCATTCATTAGCTTTAAAAATACAGAACCTTTTCTTATAGATGATAGTGAGGTAGATTGTATGTGTGTGTTTGTATTCACAAATATAATTCTAATATATTATCTGTGGATGGAAGTCATTTTAAAGCATATAATAGCATATTCTTCACTTAAATCTTGAGTACAGTGAAACGTATCCCACAGAAACTGGGTATAAGACTTCAAATTAAGATGTTCATTCTTTTTCATGCTGCTGGATCACATATAGTATCTGGAAAAAATATATTTATGCTTCCTTCAAGAATCCAAAGTGGTTTCCACCGATTTTTCAGGCAACTAAAAATATTGTTTTAATAATAGGACTGCATTCACACAATCTGGGATCTATTTAGACCTGTGCAAACATTCAGCTGCTAGATAAATTCTCCTTAAGTAGATAATTATTACAGCGGACAAAATAAGTTCTTTAATTTCATCTTGAACATTTATATACTATCCCATATCTACGTCTTCACGCCGCATCTAAAAGATCTAAAGCTGGGAAATTTCTCTTAAGTTTCACATGATGAGTATAAAAATGTGGAACAAATTGATTACCATCCTACTCTGCTCATGCAAGGAAATTAGATAAAAATCCCATTCCCTTTTATAAAAAAGCACCAATCCATCAGGACAACTTGATACAACATTCAAACCACATTAAGTTTTTGACAGTTATATAATTGTTGCTTGATTTTACCAAATTGGTTCTATGTACTTTCATTTAAATCATGTGCTAGTGGAGCAAACTCCAGTTTGCATTCTTTGCTTGTTCTTAATTTCATTTTTTTCCTGGGTCAGGAATCAAGTTCAGCTATTGATAAGCATAAAAATATTTAAATGAAGTATTTAGCATACAAATACCATGCCACTTTTTCATAATGTTATGTTAGCAAAGGAAAATGGTCATGATTTTATTCAACTTGTGAAAACAGAGCATCATAAGAAATTTTCTTTGAATTTTTTTTTTTTTAAAACTGATAACCAACCCTGGAAAACCCTTTGTGTGTGTGTGAATCTCTTTGGCTTTCAGTAGTTGTTATATCTGGATGCGAGAGTAGGAAAACCTAAAGCATGAAATGAAATGATGCATAAACATATCCATTGCAGACAGTTAATCACAAAGAGAGATGGAATTACTGCAAGTGATGTAAACATTTTCCCCAAAAAAGTTGCATGCAAAATGTGAGGGAGATTTTTGGTAAATAAAAAATACTTTAATAGTCTATTTAAAAAAAGAAAATGTGATTATTAGTCTCCACAAGACTGGAAAGAATTCTAATTAACAGAAAAACATCTCTACACTGAGAGGCTGTAAAAATAAAGCAAACCAGTTCCAAGAGGGGTTTCAATTTCTTGCCTTAAAATCAGCAACAAGTTGACAGACTGTTCAATTCTTCACACATTTCATTACTAAAATAGCCCATTTCCCCATAAAACTAACAAGGCATAAAGGTGACCAAACTTCTATTACCTAAAGCTAAAGATTTTACGACTATGTTTCTTCAAATTAAATAATTGTTTTCTGTGTGTTCTCCCATCCCCATGGTTTAAATATACTTATACATTGTTAAAAGAATTGCAATAAATTCCTGTCAATATGCAAATATTTTAGAAAGAGGCATTCAAATTTTTCAGCAGAAATATTTCTGTGAACAATTTGGAAACTGACATTAGTTATCATTCCATTGTTGAAGTGTTTTATGCACATACTTTCCATTCGTACTATAGGAATATTGCAAGAAAAAATATTGATGAACTAAAAGTTCATTCTATAGTTAATGTGGGCTTGAATGTCTTACAGATGTAGGATGCACTCATACCTGGAAGTATAGAATTTTCCATGTGAAATACTCCCCCCCCCTATTGTCATGAATGAGAACATTGACATTTAAAGAAATTCCTTTTGTGCACTGCTTCAAACACAGGATCCAGAATCAAAAGCTACCCATGGATAAGTGTCTTTTGTTTTTAATAGTTTTATTTTCCACCCTTTTTCCACCCTTACTTTTACTAAGTCATAATTTGGATAATTTTCAGATATGAATAACAAAGCAAATAGTTGCTCATAGGTGTGATCTCAAATTTCCCAAATAATAGAGGATGCTGTTCACTAATTCAGAAGCATGTTGCTTCCACTTTCAACCAAACCAGGAGTGCATTTTTTAATATGAACCAAGGGCCACACTTGGGATAAAATAAAATATAGCTAATATGATTTCTGTTCAGTCATGTTTTAATTGACTTCCTATTACATTAAAAATGTGGTAAAAAAATTCTGAGGGCTACACCAAAGCTTTCAGAGGCTGCACATAACCCTATGACCTCAAGTTCTACAATAAAACAATTGTCCATATCACAGATACTATTTTAAAATTTCCTTTGTGCATTAGTCAAGGAAGGAAGGAAGGAAGATAGGCAGGTTTTTTTTAGTTTTCAACTTAAAAATTATAAAATAAAGGTAAGCTTTGCTTTCCAAAGTTCTGAATGTTTGACAATTTATTCTTTTTCTAATTAAAATACCCTTTCTGACATATGTCAAACCATGAAACTCTTATAAAAATAACATTGATGGGATTAAACTGGTTAACAGTGAAATTAGCATCAACTAAAATTAAGTTCAAGTTGCATTAGTATTAAAAGGACCAATTCAAATTAATGTCTGATTATGACTCTGTCCTTTGCTGTTCTTTAAAAATCATTTCACGCCTTCATGAAAAGATATATTAGCACAAAATTATGACAAATGATTATGTAGGTAAGCTATGCTTCTTGGAGAATGGGAAGAGGATTTCCTTAAATTAGTTACCTTCGTTTATATCATATATTACGTTTCAAAATGTACAGACACCCAATGTACTTTTTTTAACAACATATACATGTGAGTTTATAGAGCCATTATAAAAAGTTTTTGATTCTAAATTAAAAGCCATAGAAATAGAATCAAAATAATGGAGGTTGATAGTACAGTCAGTGCTTATTTTCATAATTATTGACAGCTGTATCTTTGGCATTGGAAATTCAGTACAATTTTCAGGAAAAAATGGTGTTGCTTACAGCTTTTAAAACAAGGACAAACAGGATTGATCAAAGTACAAAATTTGGGGGATTATTATTAAAGATTTATTTTTTCTATTTTTCTAGGCAAAGTTAATTTAAGGACCCTGAATTACCTTCTCATTTTAGGGTATGATGCAGACTGTATGGACTCATTTAAAAATCAACTAAATGGTACCACATTTCCCGGAAAATTATATGTAATATAATATATATTTTTATATTTATTTAGAAGCTTTGAAATAGTACAGTAAACACTTTGCAACACGGTGTATAAACTACAGAATGTCTCTGATATTTTGTGGGCTTGCAGATTAACAACATTTTCAAGACCCACAGGTGAAAAGAACATGATTCACAATTTCTTTTGTAAAGTTGGAATAGTCTGGGGAACACTTGATCACACAAAAATAATATAAAACAGTCAAGTTTAAAACAGTGATATTGCATTTATAATGCACGTTTCCTTTGTTTAAAATCTGTACGATTGGCTTCTTGTGGCGAATATAAACATCTAGAGGGCTCAGTGACATTTTGGAGAGAGAAGAGAAAGAAGGAGCTATATAGTGCTGTAAACAGGCACACACTGATCAGAGAGGCAAAATCAGTTGCCTCTTTAAGTTTCTATAGTTCCATACATTTCAACTCATTTCTCAGGCCTGCTGAGAGCAAGTAGGTCCTACTATTGGCCATAATGTCTCCAACAGCACAAAATTTCTTCAGTTAACACAGAACTGGATGGCCAAGATAATGAAGTTGAAAAGTTGATGCTTTTGTTGGTCGAATTTTGTGCAAATCATGCTGCTTCAGGTAAGTCCCGTAGAATTGACTAGCATATCCTTTTCCGTGCTGTGGGGAAAAAAGGGGGAAATCATATGTAAGTAAAGATTGACATGTTAACATACAGAAGTATTTATTAACAAAAACAACAAATGATGAGATAATTTAACATTGACAATAGTAACTTCAGACTTCTTTATTTCAGAAATAATGTAATTACCAAATTATGCCCTTCCCTCAAAAAGTATAAATTGCTTATTACAATATTTATTTCCAAATCTTTTAGATTTTTATTTAACTGGATTATAGTATTATATCCAGAAGCATACTTTGGCAGTACTCACTCTTCCCTTTCCCTTTTCCAAACTTCAATTGTCTAATTTGGTGGGATGCTGATAGGACTAACAAGGACTAGTAAGTGGAATTTTTCAATTGTGATTGTTGGATCTTACAAAATAAGGATAATTACTAACTTTGAAATAATAATATTTGTTATGATTGTTTCTGCTATTTAGCATAGAATCATAGCTATGAATTAGGTGTGGCTAATTAGATGTGCCTCAAGGATCTGATCTCCCTTATACTACTTGGAAGACCTGGAATAGGTTCAGAGCTGGAGTGCCTAAATGTAAAAATAATATGCTCAATTGGAGACTCTTTACAGATAACAATATGCTATGTGAATTTGGAGAAATGCAGAGCCCAACCCATCTGCTGGTATGTCAGCTGCTACCAGAAACAGATAATTACTCTTTTTGGCAGAGCCAAAGTGGCTTCATTCTGGCTGTTTAAAGTTTAATCTAGACATAGGAGGAGAAGAAAAAGCAATAACAATATATTTTCTATTTAAATTCATTATTATGCATATCAATAAAAATAAATTTAAGGTATACCAACTTTATAACCAAATCCTAGAAATCACTGCAAGACAAATCATACTCTAAGATCAAAATTACATGAAAAATAACAGTCAGAAGAATATTAGATCTGAAATGACTGGCTTGTCTTAATGTAATTCTCTTTAAAGAGAATAAACTGCATTGCAGTTTTAAGAACTATCTCTGTGAATGTTAAAGATTTAACACTTAACATTTAAAGATATAGCTCAATAAGTTTTACTGTATGTATCATTAAAAAAACAGACAATTTATATTCCAAGCACTATCAGTTTCCCAACGTATCTCAAAACACATCTCATTTTTGTTACTTTCTAGTATAATTAATTCCTGTTAAAAATCTTATTCCCCCTTCCAAAACATTTGTTTTCATGTAAAGTAAATAAATGAAAAGGTGATCAGCCAAATTTCCTCAAAATATCTAGAACTTATCTACTACTATAAAAAATTATAAAGCTAAAATGATCTATGCAAATCTTACAATTATTCCAATACTGATTCAATTATGAATAGCCTATCGATAGAGATGATATGGAGAGATATCAATGGTATGATATAGCTCCACTGAAGCCTCTCCAAACTCCATCTGAAAATTATTTCCAAATGGTTTAAGTGAGGATGCATTGCAAAAATACTATTGCATTGGCAGTGGCAACACAGCTATACATTCCTTATAAGGAAAAAACCCACAGTTATTTCAGTAGAATTTATTTAAGGCTGCAATTCTTCCTACATTTAGCTTCACTTAAATTCCAATTAAATAAGTAAGGTAATGTAGCTGAGACTTATGATGTAATGATTTGTGATTTTAAATAAATAGTTCTAAAGAGAATAATAAGCATTATTAGACACAATGGTAAAGTCTGTAATGCTTTGGGAAGGACAGTATCAGTATACATCAATTAACATCTATAATGAAAAGAAACAAATCTGTAATTTCAAGAATCATGATCCTCATCCTGAAAACCTGTGGTGATGGAGTTTAAAAGTTCTTTTATCTAATAACGTTGCTGAAATCAAAAGATAGCTTGTGATCCTTTTAGAACTAGTTATTCAAAGGGAAAAATATTCTGAACATTCTGATGTTTGATGTAAATGTTCAGTTTAATAGACTTCAGATCCAACTGACAGAATGTGTATATATGCATTAAAATCCCTTTCACCATTTTATATATGTTAAACTACATAAAACCCAATATAAGTTTAGTGAACATTCTCTTTTAACAAATATTCCTTCTTCCCATTAATTTCTTAAATTGAGGTTCATAGTACAGCAAATAAAGCAAGTTGATTAATCAAGAAAACTGTAGGCCGAGAGGGATGGTTCCCTTAAAAATAGAGTATTTTTCTCATCCATTGGAACAAAGACTACAAAGTTATTGAGATAAATTTTTGTCTTTAATGCAGTTTATTTAAAGATAAAAAAGGAAGAAGACTTGCTTTCTACTTGTATTTATTACAATGATCTGTTAGTCATTGACTAGATGGCAGGCCTTTTCATTAGTAGCCGTTTTTCCCTCAGGGGTACATTAAGCATCACCGTCTGTGTGTTCTGCAAAGCCTTAAAGAACAAAATGTTCTAATATGTTTTTGACCTTAGTTGACCTTTAATATGCAGTACTATATTTAGTATATTGTTATTTTTTGTTGTATTGGCATTGCCGTATGAACTGTTTACTTTTTGTTTACAAAAAGTTAACAGTAAATATTTATTAGTGTTATGCAAAGCTGTTTAGAGTATTTACAAAGAACCCATCTGAATGTACTGCTTTTGGTATCAAAGACCTAATCCATTAAAAATCCAGCGTAGCCTGTAGTAAAGGACCTTCTTCTGTTGTCTGAGAAAATACATTTTCTCCCAATGACAATGTCATTTTTGTATGCATTTGCATGTTCAGATCACTTTGGAAGATCACAACACTTCAACAGTTCCAACACTAGTTACGCACAGTCCTACTAGTGACCACTTTATCAGATATATCCTTTGTTGGCATGTTTATATGCACACTTTTATATGTTCTTCATGAATAGTGTAGTTAAAAGAAAAAGAAATGCAATAAGTATAGACTGTGTCAATTCCATTAAAGCTTCAAGGTAGGTGAAAATTCAGTGATTTATATTCATTATCAATGCAACAACAGTATAAAATACCTCTATTTTATTACTTATTATCACTTAGAAACTATTAAACTCTCATTACAGTTATTGCAGAATTATCCAAAGATCTGTTTACACATCTTAGGATAACAAGTTTGAACTCAGAACAAATGTCTAATGTTTGCACATGCTTATCCTTGCAGGAATAGCACTAAAACAGGGATATCATCCTTAGTTGTTGTTCCTAGTTCATATTTTAGAATTAATGTTGCATGCAAACAATAGCAGCATTATTAATACTAGGAAAGACATTACTGTAGTCAATAATGGAAGCAATTGTGAATTACTCAAATAGCCACTAATTAATTAGCTTTAACTTTGTAACAAGCATTATTTCATTACTATACAACTTTTTCTCCCTATGGGCAAGGATATAAAAACAGTATCATCCAATGTATCTAACTGTGTATCTTTTTAATGATATCAATTTCTTGCCAAAGAGGATCTTGATTCTACGCAAATAATATCAATATATAGCTGAATTCTATCCAGATAATTAGGACAGTTATTGTGCAATTCTATACTTAACTATATACTGTAGTATGAGAGTTGTTGCTCTCATGCAATTGGTGCACCATTGAAATCAATATTTCTCATGGCCACAGGTTGAGCTACTTTATTTAATGCGTGAGTTCACTCATAATGCACAAAAAGTGCTTAAAACAAGAGTTCATAATACTTATACAATTTATTATATTTACATATTCCTTATTAGTGAAAGTAATATCATTTACTACAAATACTATTATGTAGTATTTCAGCCATTTGTACTTTTATGTGTATTAAATCACATTCCAGGTCACTTTATTTTTCTGTTATGTATTTTCGGTCAGCATTCCAGAATGCATAGATTTAGATTCATTAAGTCACAAAAACAGAAATGTCATGAAGGTCCCCACAGAAATTCCACTGAAACTGATACATATTCTATTCATGTAAGTCACTTTTCCCAATCTGCAGACTCCAGAACATGCTCTAAGTCAATCTCCTCAAACAAAAATAACTAAAATCTGCAATTTGAGTCATGGTCACAATAGACTTTGCCCTATTCCATTCCATTCCCTTCCTTTCTCTTTCTCTTTTTCCTTTCCTTTTCCCTTTCTAAGCTTAACCTGAAATTAACCTGAAAAGTAGTAAGTACAATTATATCTATATTTAGCCCTACAGCTAAAATATAGCTATACAACTCCTTCAGCTAAAAGACACATAGGAGGTCTACCCCCGTGATGGAATCAAATTAGTCTTCCATTGTTCTTGCTAGTCCTATCATTATCCCACCAAACTTCAGATAAGTTTGGAAAAGGGAAGGGGAAAAGTAAATACTGGCGAAGAATTACTCTGGATATAGTTAAATATACATTGTAAAGATTTATAAAGAAATATTATTATAAGTGATCTATAGCTTTTAGGGGAGGGGATAATTTGATAACTATATTATTTCCTAAAGCTGAAATAAATGTGAAATCCAAAATGACTATTGTTGATGTTAAATTATCTTATAATTGATTACTTTTGTTAGTAAACATTTCTGCTTTTTATTTGTGTGGTACTTAATGTGGACTGTAGTATCAACACTGAATAGTAAATCTGCTTTCCCCATCTGAAAAACAAATAGAATCCTACTCATAATTATGGCATATAACAGATTTATCAGTTCTTTCTATCTGAGCTGAATTGGCTAGACTTAAGTCAACTTAATGGGAAGAAATGTGTTTAAATTAAGGACGGTTTTAATTGGATCTATATTACCTTATTTATGTAAATAAAAATACCTCTAATCACACAAGCCTCCCAAACAATAACCAATACCTCTACAGTTTCTTGGGGATGCTGGAGAAGTGAATTGTAGACTTAAGCATTTAGTCTTTGATTTCCAGCTTCAGGCACAAAAGTGTCATAATCAATCTGTGACTTTGTATGGGGATAATATTCTTCTGAATCCTCATTAAACAGTATGTGTGTACATACATACATTATCTGTATGTACATCTGTGTACACACACACACACACACACACACACACTATCTGTATCTTTACCTACGTACTATTTAATTTGCTTTGCCATTAACAAGACTCACTGGAACATTTACCGCATATATATGTAAAACCTGTATTTAAAGACTACTATGTTACAGGTCATCCTAGACTGACAACAACTCATGTAGTGACCATTCAAAATTACAAGCACACTAAAAAAAGTGGCTTATGGCTTTTTTCACACTTATTACTATCCTGCATCCCCAAAGTCATGTGGTCAAAATTCAGATGCTTGGCAACGGACTCATATTTATGACGGTTGCAGTGACCTTGTCATATGATTATCTTTTGTGATCTTCCAACAAGCAAAGTCAATGGGGAAACCGGATTCACTAAACAACTGTGGCAAGAAAGGTTATATGTAACATGGAATAAAACTCACTTAACAACTGTCTTGCTTAGCAACAGGACTCAATTGTGGTTTTAAGTTAAGGACCACTTGAATTTCTTTCTCAGTGTTTCTATTTTTTTTTTCAAAAGCTGATTCTCTGAAACTCATTTAATTTGTTTTTATGTAACATGAAAGAATCTTTTCCTTTACTCCAAGCTCCTAAATGAATATGATTGGTCTCTATAGTAGGAGCATAATTAATCTTGCAGTTTTCTGCAAGCACTAAAATGTGCCAATATAGAAAATTTGTCTCAATCTGTATTATTATCCTTGCTTTACAGTTGGGGAAATAGTCAGAGAGGTTATGTGGAAAGATGAATTGTTCTATAGTTAAAGGAGATAATGTGAACATATCTGAGCTACATCTGGCTTTGCCTTTTGCAAGGGGGAAAAGGAAAAAGGAAATAAAATAAAAAAGTCTAAACCACAATCCTATATTCACTTATCTGGGAGCAAATCCCATTGAACTCAATGGGGCTCACTTCTGGTAGGAATATATAGGATTGCACCTCACACCTCTCTGTCCATAATTCCCCCATCTGTAAAAGGAGAATAATAATGCTTACCTATCTCACAGAGGATCTGCAGTTCTTTAATCACTATTCTTTTATAATCCACTTTGTGATCCACAAATGGCAAGGCCTAGAGAGGTGGAAAGCATTACAATCAGTGCAAGAAAACAGAAGAACCAAGAATTCTAAGGTTTCAAGTTGTCTCTTACAAAGAGCTTTATAATCTCTTAAGTATGTAAATGAATTTTGAAAATTATAATTAGAAAATCTAAGCAAAATTGACATATTTATACATATGTGATTTGGTAATAATATTTAGTAATAAGAAACACAATTATCACACAGACAGCAAAAAATGCAAAAAATATAGGCTTAAAAACAAAGAAAAATGTGAAGGTTAGCACAAATTTTAAATGACATACTAAACTTTATACCAATCAGTCTAAAAATTCTTATATATATATAAGTGACATACATACATACATACATACACATATACATATACATACATATTATAATGCAATTTTAAATTGAATGTCGATATATAGTGTAATATACAATAAAATCTTTATTTTCATTAAGAATATGTTTATTAAATACATTTGCTGTGTTTCATCATCCTGAAACCAAGAGCAAGTGGACTAATTTCCTAGCAATACAGCCCTTATTATCTGTCTCCTTTACTTCTCTTTTTTTTCACATAGAAAGTTTTATTTTCCATTTTCATAGCATATAATCACATGTATACTATTACATAGTCAATATTATGTTGTATTATTAAGTAATTACATCAATTCATCTTACCATCAACTACCAAAGAAAAGAAAGAAAAACCCAGTTATTGGCTCTTCTGCTCTCCATACACCATATTTATACCTTATCCGACACTTTCTTCCCCCTCTCTCCTCCCCCTTTCTACATCCTGTCTTCCCCCCATCATTTTCTACTTCCCCTTCCTTTCTCCTTCTCCTCTCTCCCCTTACCACTCCTCCTTATACACCTCATCTTCCCGCTTCACCCTCTCTCCTATCCCTCTCTTCCTATCTTTCTTCTCTCCTCTACTTCCAACTCTTCTATATCCTGTATTCCCTCCATCATTTTCTACTCTACTTCCCCTTCCTTTCTCCTTCTCCTCTCTCCCCTTACCACTCCTCCTTATACACCTCATCTTCCCCCTTCACCCTCTCTCCTATCCCTCTCTTCCTATCTTTCTTCTCTCCTCTACTTCCAACTCTTCTATATCCTCTCTTCCCTC